TATTATTATGATTGTTATTATTACTATTTCATTAAGCACAGATTCGGATTCCAGTACCCCTGAAAGAATTTAATGTAGCAGAACACACCACAGAGCCACATATTGAGAAGAGAGACACAATGGAAAGGCATAGAATTCAAAGAGTTTCAGACAGACAGACTGACTGACAGACAGACAAACAGACAGACAGAAGACAGACAGACAGACAGACAGACAGACAGACAGACAGACAGACAGACAGACAGACAGACAGACAGACAGACAGACAGACATTTATTCGTCTAATCTGGCCTGAACGAGTGGCATGTAATCGGAACGAGGAGTGACCACTCTATATATTGTACCAATCAAAACTAAAATTAATTTTTGCCCGTAACTAACGTTGCAAATTGTGCATTGGCAAGCGGTTCAAACGTCCCAAGCTTAGAAAGCAATTTTTAAATTGTATTTTTTAGAAGAGGAAAAAAAACTGATTCATTTCTCATACAAATTGTAACTACGCTATGCATCTTTTCTTTTACATTTAGAATTTGATAGGAAGTTCGACCAAATATTTCACGAGAGTATAAGCATTACTGATAACACAGAATCAGTAGTACATTATTGTTGTTGTTGTTTTTTTCCAAATGTTGGGCCTAGAACATCTAAACAGCTGGGCGACGATAGGCTTTGATTGATAAGTAATGATAAGTCATCAGCCAAATCACTGTTATCTGGATTGTCACAACAGTACTGTTTTGCCATGATATTTTTTAATGACGCAAAATGTTTGTTTTGCTTGTCAGAGCTCAGTTCTACAGCTAATTAACGTGTCAAATCCTTGGGGAAGCTCATACCAGGCGAGAGATATCCTAAAAGCTCTTGGGATATCTGGTGTGCAAAATGTTAGTTAATCATTCTCCCCTTTTAGTTCCTACTTGCTACTAGAGCTGTGTCCATTCCACTTCACTATTCAACCTGCATGGGTTTTTGCGCTCCTCACAGCTATTCGAAACGTGGCAAAGCCATTAGAGTACTGTGTGATTTTTATTTTTTTTAAGATAATGGAATTTCGTCTCATTTTTCTAAAACCACAGTAAAACTGGAGAACAATGTTATCTCTGAAATCATTGAGATAAATACAGAAATACTCTGCTTAATATACGAGTCAGGGTGATAAGATTAGCCAACAAGTTTTTCACCACCTGTGCCTCCTGTGGAATGATCCGACAACTCAAGGGACACATAGACAAACAAAGAAGCTTTATTAAAAAACATTATATATAGCCATAGCGACAGCCAGAAATAATACAAATACGGGCGTTGGACAAATTTTTATGATCAACCGAACATATAATTTATCCGTTTTTCTAGCCTCGTCATGACTGCTATGGCCATCCTCGATTCCGGCTTGTTTTGTGTTTTTTTATGACTTATTAGATCTACCTTATTATTTAGATCTAATTTTTTGTGTTAATTTTTAATTTATTTATTTATTTATTTTTTATTTATTTTTTTATTTTTTTTTGGGGGGGGGGGATTTCTTTCATTTATTATTAGAACAAAAATGGTAAAAGTTTGCCGCATGGTCTATAATTTTCAAGCTTCGAGCAGACGTATTATACACCGGTAGATTCATGTATTTAACTGACGTGCTTAAAGTTATGAGGCACGTCGTGGCATTAAGATTTTTGGAGTTTATTGACAATAGGGGTGTAACCGTGGAGTTCTAGGACCACGATTTCTTGACCCTTTGCTGTTGAGAAAACGGGTTTGTGTAAGAGACAGAAACAGATTTTCCTTTTCCCTAAAGCAAATAGTACCATGGAACACTCGCTTTTGGAATCTATGTAATCGTGCACGAATATATACTACTACTGTTATTATAAACGGGTACGGCCAACAGTTGTTAAAATATCAAAGAGGGAAGTTTATATTAACATTTGCCTTGTATAGAAATAAATGGGAAGGAGCCTTTATTTTCAATCTTCTAACATCAAACGCTCACAAGCATCCTTGTTTGGAATTTCGCCGTAGTTGTTAAGTGTTTTACCAACTGAGCCCATTGAGATAAGAGACTGGAATAGACCCCGGTTGTTTTGTTTGGTGTGTCGCATTAAACGCCCTATATGCACACATATTGTTATACAAAGGCAGTACCTTTGGCCAATAGCCAAAGCATGGAAAGCAAGGGGGAAACTGCAGGCTATAGATCTACGCAACTCTGTGTCCCGTTCAAGCACTGGGGGGGAGAAGCTCATAGAAAGCTATTCTTGAAAGTAGAGAATTCATACATTTGTTTTCTTGGCAAGTTTATGTAACTTGAAAGTTTTGTTTTAGAATTTTTACGACTTAGTGTGGTTTACATAATGTACCAGTCTCATGTTCTTTGGAGAGAGTATCTCTGTTTGATACATGCTGGAAAACTTTACCTGCTGAATTCACCGTCATTGTGAAGTTCTTTGAGCCTTTAGGTGGCTGGCTACAGCACTGTATATAAGCTCTTCAACCAAAAGAAATTTCTTTATAGTAGTGGTTTTTGGGACTTTCCGAGTTTTAGGGGTAGGGTCAGACTTTTCTTCTGTATGTTATTCTAAAAAATACAAAGCTTCCTGTCTGCAGGGTTATGTGCCCGTTCCCAGTGTGTTTGGTACTCATTATGTTAAATAAATGGTTGCACCACTTCTTAAATGACCATACAGTTTTGCAATGAGTGCGGTGTTGAACCATACAATATTGCACCATTTATTTTACACTGCTCCAGTAAGATGATGGGGGGGGGGGGGGGGGGGGGGGAGGTTGTTTTGTTTTGTTTTATTTTGGCAGAAATCATTTCCGAAGTACAAGTATGCCATCATGTTCGAACACTGAATATTTGTTTAGTAGGGTGTGACAGTAGAATTTCAGACCTGTAGGTCATTGTAGAGGTTTCGCAACGTTATCAGCAAATGCCAGTGCACTAGCCTACACAAACGAACCTGTTACCAAGAAACAGTGCCAATCATCCAGCCTATATAACGTCACGCTCATTCGGTAATTGCCTTAGTCATTTTTAGGCAGACTGAACTAAGGCCACATCGGGATAATTTGATTAGTTCTCCAGATTTCTGTGAAAGTCCTTTGGGTAGTTTATAATTTTAATTGTTTTTAAATGTTTAGAAAAAACTATCTGTGATGTGTCTGTTTTGTAAGCGCAACGGTTCTGTTGTTTTCCTCAAAACTTAAATCTAGGCAATTATTGAATGAGGGTGACGATTAATTGGCGGAAGGATAAAACTGGTATCTCTTGGTTTGTTGTATTATAAATTTTCTCTAATTTAATTCATAACATTGTTGTTGTTTTTTAAAGCTTGTCCACTTCTCGGTGTGTTTCTGTTGGTCCAGTTTGGCCTACAAAATTAAGTCTAAATTGAAGCACCCCCATCCCGTCTTTGCGTATAAGTCTGACTGCCCTGGTTTTGTCCTTCAATCCTTCGCAGGACGCTCTGGGAGTCTGTGACAATAATGAGATAGCTAGTTCTTGGTCTTGTGTTTTGAAGCCAGCAAAGCACTCTTGCTTCAGCCTCAATCTCCATGTTCATGCTTGAAGTTGTTCTTTCTATGGCCCCTGGCATGCTATGAACCCGTTTGTTCCCACTGCACACCACAATACCCCACCCACTTCTCTCATCCCTTCTGACCGATCCACCCGTGTAGATGACTGGGTCCTCTGACTTGGAGTGCTCCTCAATTAACTGTCGTATGTCATTGTTGTTAATGACAACAGCACATTCCCGTCTTTCACGACCCATAGTGATGACAACGAGACTGTTTTCTAAAATTTGATTGCAGATTTAAAGACTCTGCTAGTGTGAAATTTGATCAAATTCGATCAGCAAATAGATCTAAACGAGATAGCTCTCAGATATAGCCCCCACCCCCCTCCCCCTTCCTTGAAAAAAATATGAACCTATCCGCAGCGTCCTCCAACCATCCGCATCCAATGAAGTTCGCTTTCGTAATGATCTGAGTGTGTTACGATTACTGGGGTTTACTTTACTTTAACCAACAAA